AGTTCCTAAAATTTGTACTTGATACTTATGTTCAACCCCTTGAATTAAAGCTGAAAATCTGCACTTCAAATTAATTTGGATTGTTTCATTTTAGTTTCTTCTGGTGGCAAACAGAGCCAAAAGTATGAAAATTGTGCCCGTGTCCAAATATATATGGCCCTAACTGTATATATACATAAATGTTTTGCCTTTCATTTCTGTTTTAAACTGAATGGGTTGTGAGGGTTTACATATACTTTAAGCAAATCCATTTTTATAATAAAGTGAAGAAGCTCTAGCTATTCGAAATTAGCTGCACTGAGGACTGCTGAGCCCATTGGTGGTGTTAAAGGAATGTACCACGAGAGGACCAGTTGGCTGTCCTGCCCATCGTCTCAGCTGAAAACCCCTGCACAAGGTGCCCCACAATATTAGAGTTGCTTCTGGCTGAATGTGCAGCATTTACTAGAGTAAGCTTTTTAATTCACTGGTCTTGGAAATGTGGTTCCGTTTTTTTTTTTACCTCAAAAGATCCACACAAGGGTTCCCTGCCTTATTGGAGCATTTAGCATCCAAGGTCAAGGACTGAGCTACAGGAGAGATTGAACTTACAAAAGACAACCACAAAAAGGTGGTAAGATGGTAAAGGTTTAACCCTTTCATGCTGGTTGAGAACTCTGAGTACAAAAAGGTAAAAGCTGTTGTGTAAACATCCACACCTTTTAACTTTGTACTGGACCTCTGGGTGGAAATAGGCGGGGCTACTGACATAAGCACCAGGGAAATTGGTTAACTTTCACCTAGTCCTTCCCATCAGCATATTTTTACCTTCCTTTTACTTCCCCAGCACTCCATTCTGCTTTCAAGAACAAATTTCTGTGCAAGCTACAGTATGAGTTTTTTGAAGTAATATGTTGGGGAGGGGTTGTGAATGAAAACAGGCCGATTTCTTGGTCTTGAATGGGTAAAAAACAGATTTGCATATATTATCAAAATTTTTAAATCATATATTGATTTTACATTCATACAGGGTATTTTGCCTTCTCTCCTAGAAGCCTTTCCTCTTGGCAGCAGCCTTTTGACAAAAAAAAAAAAAGCCTGACACTTGTAAAGTGTGTAACGCGTTTAGGAGTGTCAAGTGCTTTGGCATAAATTCATTTCAATGGCCAGAATAAATACATTTTCTAGCCAATTAAATGAATTAACACTCATGCATTAAACACGCCTAGCGTTAACACACGTTTACAGGCGTCAAGCATTTTTCTGCCAATTAAGCAAATAAAACATTCTGACTTTACAAATGCTGCATACTTTCTCCAAGTGAGGCACTGAAAGAATATCGAAAGGCAGTTTCTAGATTTTTCTAGAGTTTAGCAGTGGTTGTCTGATAAATAATAATGATATCAAATTCATAATTCGGCACTTATATTGATGGAAAGCTTGCAAAATATTTGGTTTTTATGATTAATCATAATATTAAAATGTGTGAATGGTCTTGAACCAATTATAGTGTAATTTCTTCAGTTAAGCGGAGATAGGAGGCATAAACTGACCTAGCTAACCAGCTGAGAGCTGATTATTCTATAATAGAGCATAGCTGGTTACAGGACTCTGGTGTAGAATGTCAAGGGTGTTAGAAGTGAATCAAAATAGAATAAGTATTACATAAACTAAATACACACAGATACTATTGGTATATATTGTTACACATGTAGATTTTTGGTTATACAACATTGAAATGTTGTAAAGATACATTCTTAATTTATATTTTTTTAATAAGAGACTGGTCATATGAGCAGGCTGATGTAATATGGTCAAATTATGGTCACTACATATGTGCCTGTCAATCAAAAGACCATATATGTAAAGTCCCCTCCCTTCAATGAAAATTGCTCTGCTAAGCAGTATCGTTTGCCATACAAGGTTCTAAGATCACGAATTATGATGCTTACTTGCATCATAAAAAGGCGTCTTAAGAGACAGAGAGACATACACACGTCGGTCCATCCATACAGATACGCATAAGCAAAGCTGAGAAGCTGGGACAGGTGCATGCTGTAAAACAAGAAATAGTCACGAACGTCTACTTCCAAAGACTCTGAAGGACAAGCACCACATGGTCAGACTCAACTGCATTAAACAAGGCAAAAAGCACATGAGACAATGAACATAATGGTGACACATCTTTATAACTTCTGCTTTGACATTTACATGGAACTGTTCATGATACGCTTTACATTGTTATTTATTTTAAGCCATTGTGTGATAAAATAAAATCACACTTTATTTTTTACCTTTCCGGCTCTTTAATTACAAGCACAATCGCCTATAGACGCTAAAGAAGTACTATATGTGTCTCAGTAAATTCTACATTGTCTAAATGTTTCACATATTTCTCTTATGACAAATATCCTTTAATATCGGCAGTGCTAAGCTCCTCATTATAACTAGTTTATAATACCATGGCAGGCAGCACAGTGGCTAAATGGTTAGCACTTCCGCCTGGCAGTACTAGGGTCGTTGGTTTGAATCCCAACCACGGTACCACCTGCCTGGGGTTTGCATGTTTCCTCCCACACTCCAAAGACATGTTGATAGGTTACTTGGCTCCTGTCTAAATTGGCCCTAGTATGTGTATGTATGAATGTGAGTTATGGAACTTAGATTGTACGCCCCTTGAGGGTTAGGGACTGATGTGAATGTACAGTATACATATGTAAAGCACTGCATAAACTGTTGGCGCTGTAGAAGTACTTGTAATAAATAAATAAAAAAAAAAAAAAAAAAAAAAAAAAAAAAAAAAAAAAACAAACATACCATGACAGGCACACCCCCAACCATATTATCACTGGACTCAGTGTGTTTTTTCCATTATAGTAGCCAAGCTTTTCAACTTTCCAAGCATAACATTTTAAGTATCTGTGTTCACTCATTTCTTCCAAAACTGCTCAATCCCATTGAGATCTATGCAATACTACACTTTTTTTTTCTCAGCTCCTGTCCTCTTCTGACCTAGATGCTTGCTGGTATTTCTGGCCGTGGCCATCTTGAGTAAGGGCAAATGATTTGTATTGCATTTACTTCCTGGAACCCACCTGCCCTTAGCTCAGGCACGCAGGCAGGAAGGTGTGCTTAGCTGAGAAAACCCCTCCTCCCCTCTTGAAGACTCCTGGGTTGTATGACATAGGTTAATTATGGCAAAACACAGCTGTCTAGTTCCCCTCACAAAGAGAACGATAGTAGCAGTTTTCCTTGCTGGAGGGTCCAGAACAGAGCATCTAAAATGTATGCTGCAATTTTTTTATTTATTTTTTTTATGTTTAGAATTTTATACTATATAAAAATATTTTATTTTTTTTTAAGTTATGCAATGTGAATATATTTTTTAAATTATGCTATGTACCAATTGTAAAGTAGTTGTCCCAATTTGGCTTCAAAAAGGTGGAAACACAGTTTAAATCCAGTCCTCAAAATCACTCTGGTATACTTGTGATACTATATCAATGACAAAAGGTTGTATACATGACTGAACTGAGGTATGGCAGTCAAAACTCCAACGTTCAAGTAGTCCTCAAAAAAATCACTCTACTGATCAACTGTACGGTGGCCCTGCTGGAAAATTTCCTCCTCTCAAACAGTGCTGTAAGCTATAGCCTGTATCGGTGATCAGTGAATTATGATAGTGGGGAAATATCCCTGCGTCTGAAATTAATGACACAGTGGGAGGATTCCCCCTTCCACCATGAATGTGTGAATGGGGGAATCGGGTCAGTTTTTTTGTTCAACCCACTGGTTGAATGAAAACAAATTGACTCATCTATGGCCAGCTTAAGGCACTGTTGCCTCTGACTGCAAGTCTCAGACGTTGTGATGGTGTCATTGTGCTGCTTAGTGTTCTCCTTGCTGGAGGCCCTGACATAGGGGAACAAAACCCTGTCTCTACCAAGATGATCATCTCCAGACCGAAACATTGTGCAGAACAAAAAGTAGGCCAAGTTACCAACGTGGAAAAGATCAGCTGCAGGTAGACCACAGGGAATATTGTTGACAAGTCCTTTGCAAACTTTACCCAAAAATGGAGGGAGAGAGAGCAGAGTTTAATTCCTCCTTAACTTCTCAATATCTAAATAATTAGTCTAACCCCTAAACATCCTGAGCCATTAAGCTCACCTAAAAGTTAAACTCCCATAGTGAGCTCTTAACTCTTTTCCCAAACATTTAACCTCCAAAAGTGTGCCTGTACCACTTTACTTTCCCTAAAGTGTGTCCTTAACAGCCCCTAAAGTGTGACCTTAACACTTACATTTAGATGCAACAACCCTTAAAAACACTGAATCCCAGAGTCTAACACTGACACAAACAAAATCTAGTCCATAAAATAATCAAAAACAATAATCAACTCTATCCTGCTACATACTTACTTTGTCCTTCCTCAAGATCCTCTGTTGATAGCATGTAGTGTAGGTTCCATGCCAAAAGCATACTTCAGTATTCTCTTCAATAACACAAGCTAACAATATGACGAAAGGTATGTTCAAAAATATAGCTCAACTTAAATTACTTTAATACAAAATTGAGAATAAGTTAGCAAAGACAAGCATAAACAAGTATGAAGACAATTGCTTAACCAAACACAAAGGGGTTGATTTACTAAAACTAGAGAATGCAAAATCTGGTGCAGCTCTGCACAGAAACCAATCAGTTTCCATTTTTTTTCGTTTGCCAAACCTAATTGAACAAGCTAAAGTTAGAACTGATTGGCTACCATGCACAGCTGCACCAGATTTTGCACTCTCCAGTTTTAGTAAATCAATCCCAATGGCTCTTCTAATAACTGAAGGAAAGGAAAATGTTGCTGTGGTGCCCACTTTTGCGTAAATAAGAGAATGAGTATTTTGATTCACAATGCTACTCGAGGGCATGGGCAATACAGATTTTCCTTTCTCCAGGTCTTATAGATAAAACTATTTGTTGAGAGTCAAATGGTATATTGCTTAAGAATCTTCCCAAGTCCATCCCTGTTAGTGGCCTACATATATAGAGAGCTTCTGTCCACATTTGAGATGAGGATCTTGTATAGCTTTCCACATGACCAGCATCTGATATGGCACAAAACGGTGTACCATTAGAAGTTCTCTATAATAGCATGGATCAAAAGAGTCTAATGTGGCAGACGGCACATGCACTCCTACTGTTCTCATCCCCATGTGAGAGGCTGGAACTAAACCAGCCTTTGCCAGACACATGCCTAGATAAACATCATCAATAGGGAATAGGGGAATTTCCAAGGATTTATTGTAAATGGCATGGGCAGTGTATCTGGATAGGAGAATTCCCCCACCGCCACAATACATTGGGTAGGAATCTGAGCTGGTTATCTGTACGGGCACGTAATACTTGCTACCAGATTCACGAATAGGTCCAACATTGGCTATCAGCTGTCCGATAAAGAGGTGATCATCTGCCTTTAGTCCACGTAGATAGGTGACAACATTGAAGGTATTAACAAATACATCATCATCTCCATTAAATATAAAATTAGCTCCTGGGCAGTTATTCTCTAACCACTGATGGAAAAGGAACTGTTTCAATGTCAGATTAAAAAAAGTGTCATGGAAGTTCCACTGTAATATATCACCGTAGGTTTCACTTTCGATTTTTAGAAGTTGCCTCAAATGTTTGTCCTCCCTTTCATTTTCAAAAGTTCCAGAGAGAAAAATCCTTCTGACATGGGCACCGTTATAGCTGTTTTGCTCCCCCCAAGTCTGGCGAATGATGGCTCTCCTTTCATAATTCCCAGGGGAAGACTTTATGGCAAGAAGCAGAAATACCCTTTTAGATTTAGCTCTTCCACCACACTTCTGTGGTGCATTAAGTATCTGTGGAAAGCTTGTGCAGTGTTTATATCTCAAGAAGTTTTTAATGTGTTCAGGTAGTTCGGAAAATCCATCAATACGTTCCACTGAAGAGTTCTCCTGACAGTGGGAGACCCACTCAATTTTTTGTAGTGTAGTAGGTCTATAGGTAACATGAGCAAGAACAGGTTGATCTTCAATCTCTTCTATTCCATCTCCACTTTCTTGCATAATAAACAAGAGACCAACAAAGCCCAAGCACAGCAGTAGTATGCTTTCCACCTTTAAAATAGACCGCCTCATGCTGACGCTGTTAAAAAAATAAATAAATAAAAACAAACAATGTAAAGTCTATTTTTCTCAACAAATACAATGCAATATTTACTACATTTTTTTTTTTAAAGCTATCTTTATGTGAAGAGTAAATCCATGAAAAAAAAACTGCTATTTTAGTGTTTTATAGATGCAACAGAATTAAAGAGTCTCTGTGAGCACCCCCCTTCCACAAAAAAACATTACAGGTATAAAGTGTAGGCATGTACCTGAAGAAGCCTCCAAGTCCCCACTGTCAAATAATGGGCATTCTGTCAGGCAAAGCTTTAGCAACAAAAAGCTGAATTTAAGCTGCTTTGCTTGCAAGGCAAATCAGCTGCATCCAAACAAGTGTAAGGGCCCTTTCACACGGATACATTTTTGTTTTAGCCTGCTAAAAGCACAGGAAAAAAAATATATATATTTCCCTTTAAATCCTATAGAACTCTTCACACCAGTGGCCTGCAGGTGCAGTGCATTTGCATTCCCAATGTGCATGAGTACATCCAAAACACTAAAGTGGCCAGGAACAATAGCAAGGAGATCACCACAAGTCATCAAGGAATATAAGACATAATAAGCCATCAAAACACTCAGTGAACCAGGTTCAATCTAGATTTAAAAAAATTCTTGGGTAGACCCTTTAAAAAGTGATTCAGAATTAAATATGGTACATTAGCATATAAAAGTTATTATTTTTAGATATTCAGAGAAAAAAAAATATTGTGAAAATGCAAAATAAACAATAATAGTAATGTGCTCTCAATAATGAAAATTGAAAGCTGACTACATTAAATGGAATCTGTAAGGCTACGTTCACACTAGTGTTGTGTGCAGGCGGCAGAGAGGCGTTTGGGAGGCGTTTTTACCGCTTCACAAACGCCTTGGACAATTCTGTACATTGCAGCACATGGTGCTGTTCTAACAGGAGCATTAGCGTTGCGTCAAAACGGACGCCTCTAGTCCAGTCAGGAGGCGTTGAAGCCTCCTATTCTAGTCTATGGTGCCGCTCCGCAAATACCCGGCCTGCGTTTGCAGTGCGGTTGCAAAGCAGTAACACCATTCAAACTTCATTCTAGGCGTTTGTGGGGCGTTTTTAACACTCGGCATGCGCCATTTGCCGAGCGTTTGCTGAGCGTTAAAAAATGCTCCGCTATAGGGGCGTTTGGCAAGCGTTGGTAAAACAGTCAAGGGTGAATGAGCCCTAAGGGTAGGAAGTACAGAAACTGCCATTGCCAACTTAGAATTTAAAGCTGTAGGCTCTGAAGCAGTCATGCTTTATTTTGACTTCACTAAGATGGCTTACACCCACAGGTCCTCAAAGAGTTGAGCTCTTCTATGTCTAAGCCATTGTTTCTAATTTTCAGAGACTCTTTAAAGACTGGTATGGTACCAGTGAATTGGCGTAAGGCCAACGTGGTGCCTGTATTTAACCAATTCAATACCGGGCAATTTTACACCTTCCTGCCCAGGCCAGTTTTCTGGTTTCTGAGCTCTCACACTTTGAATGACAATTGCACGGTCATACAACATTGTACCTAAACTAAAATTTTATAATTTTCTTCACACAACTAGAGCTTTCTTTTGGTGGTATTTAATCACCGCTGGGGTTTTTATTTTTTGCTAAATTAACAAAAAAAGACCAAAATTGTTTTTAAAAAAACACACGTTTCTTTGTTTCTGTTATGAAAGTTTGCAAATAAATAATTGTTCTTCATAAATTTAGGTCAAGATGTATTCTGCTACATGTCTTTGGTGAAAATAACCCAAATTAGGATGTATTTTTTTAGTTTGTAGGAAAGTTATAGAGCTCACAAACTATGGTATAGATCTGAATATTGATCAATCCTGAAGTACTGACAGCCAATCTAATTTCTTGAGGTCCAAGAATGTCAGAACAGTACAGATATCCCCCAAATGACCCCTGTTTGCAGAGTAGACAGTCCGACGTACTTCATAAGAGGCATGGCGAGTTTTTTGAAGTTGTATTTTTTTGGGCATAATTTTTCAGAAAATGAAAAAAATGAAAAAAATTATTTTCACTATTTTTTTTTTATATATTGTCACCAGTGCAGTACAGCATCATCATATAACTGGCATGGCGGTGATCAGGGACACTGACTGGTGACAGTATGAAAAAAAAAAAAAAATATATATATATATATATATATTTCACTATGACCAAAGTAGTACAATGTTACCATAGTAACATTGTACTACTTTGTGTAAAAAAAAAAAAAAAATACTGATCACTTCACCAATTTGCTTGTAGCAAATAATTACTTTGCTATAAGCAAGCATTTACCTGAATGACATCGATTCATTGTATTTTGTTTTTTTTTGTGCTTAGCTGTGATTTGGCCACAGCTAATCACATGACATGTGCATGTGATTAGCTGTGACCATTCACAGCTAGACACTAGTATACAATGGATGGCATGAATGAAGCCATCCATTGTATACAACTGTCATGTGACCTGCTGTGATTGGTCACAGCAGGTCACATGGTACCAGCAATGGGGGCCAATATTCAGATCTGTCATTGGCCGTGTCCGAGGTACACGGCTGGTGACAGATCGCGCCGATGCACGGCTCTGCAGGAGCGCAATCTGCGCATGTGCGGGAGGACGCCATATGGCGTCCACCTGGAACGCTGATGACATTTGCCAGCCGCCATTCGGCCATAGGGCGGGCGGCAAATGGTTAAAAAGGGATGAAAGCCTTTACGAGTAACTAAAGACCTGTTCGTTTAACTTGTATAGTCAGGAAGATACTGGAGAGTTTAATAAAAGACCACATAGGTGAGTCCTTGCTAGATAAAAAAAAAAATAAAAAAATTAAAGCAGCGTTCCACCTGGAAAAAAACAAAATACAGTAAGTCGGCAGCTACAAGAACTGTAGCTGCTGACTTTTAAAATACAGCCACTTGCCTGTCCCTCGGTCCAGCGGTATCCTCACCATGGCTGGTTTCACCAGCCATCTTCTCTCCCTGGCGCCGGCATCTTCAGTGTGGGCACCTGGCTGTGACAGCTTGCGGCTTCACAGCCAGGTGCCCACTGCGAGAAGCGCTGCACTTTGTGAATGGCCCCATACGGGGAGAGAAGGGGGGGGGGGGGGACACTTTCCACTTCCGATCGCCTAGGCGATCACAGCGGAAGTGAAAACCTGTCAAATTCGGGTACCTGCTCCCCCCACTCACCAAAGGTGCCAATCCTTAATGGGGAGCGGGGGACAAAGGCTTAGGCTTAAAGTGAAACTTCCCCTTTTGGGTGGAGCTCCACTTTAAGCAACAAACAGCATGGATTCATGAAAGACAGAAGTTGTCAAACAAATCTTATTTCTTTTTATGAGGAGGTGAGCAAAACCTTGGACAGAGGGGTGGCTGTGATTATAATATACTTGGATTTTACAAAAGCATTTGACACAGTTCCCCCACACATGGCTAATATGTAAGGTAAAGTCTACAGGCTTGGAAAAATCAGTTTGTAAAATGAATAGAAACCCCTTCCTTAGAGACCTCCATTAGATCAGAAAGACCCCCCTGCCCATAGATTGCCTTACCTGAGGGACTCTGAGCAGCTGCAAGCCAGGAAGCATAGGAGGCTTGGAGTTGAGGAGATGGAGCTGCTGCAGCTCTAGGGCTATTGTCCACCCCTCTCTGTGTGTCACTGCTGGCTAGCAAATTATTGCTTACAAAAGGAGATCCGTGGGGGGAGGCGCGCCCAGCGTGGGAGAAGGCAGAGAGCACAGGAAGGCAGCACAGCTGACAGGAGTGGAGCCCAGTGCCCAAACTTGCTCCAGCCATCTGGGGGCCCCTCCACATTGGTGGAACTCCAGCACCTAGTCGCAAGAGCAATTGTTACAACCCCGGTATTTCCGCCACTGATCCAGAGTATATCTGATTGTCTCCCAGGGGAAACCGGAAGGAATTTTTACCTCACTGGAGAGAATTGGATCATGCTTTAGTGGGTTTTTTTTTTTTTGCCTTCCCCTGGATCAAATGTGGGTATAGAATTATTTATATGGAGGGTTTCAATATCTTCCTCTTGTTGGTTGATCTAGATGGACTAGTGTCTTTTTTCAACTTCACTAACTATGCAACTAAGATTTACTGCCCTGGAATAGGCACAATACACACTTTTTAAAACTTTGCTTCTTGCAGGCATGGTCCTGGTCAGTGTTTTTCAACCTCATTTCAATCAAGGCACCCTTTAATTCTGCACAATCTTGAGGCACCCCAATCTAAAAAAAATTAACTAAAAACGCAGCAACATCCACACGCAGAGGTTAGAGGTGATTCATTCCTCCACCTTTGCACACTGGTAATTACTCCAGCTGCTGGAGACAAAATACACATTTAAAGCGCCAAAGACCCAATTATAGGAGTCCATGGAGATCTGATGAGTGCGGTGTTTACAAGGGGAACACATATCGGCAGGCCTGGACTGGGACAAAAAATAGGCCCGGGCATTTTAGACTGAGCAGCCTCAAGCCCAGGGGCTCTTCCAGTGAGCTCAGTGGCGGAACGTCAGGGCCCGGTCGCAATAGGATAGGAGCTCCATTTGGGGTGCTTTGGTGAGATATCAGATATCTGCTTATTTGTACCTGTAATATACTTATTCCCTATTTGTAAATAAACCCAAACCCTATTCGTAAGAGTCAGTCGTCCTTCTTGGAATCAAGACACTCCAACCAGAGCACATTTCACAGAGTGAAAATGCCCGGTGTGCCCTATGGCCAGTCTGGGACTACATATCGGTCACAATAAGTGAAGACACTGGATTTTCTACCTCTGAGTACAAGACACTTTTTAAAGAGCACTTTATGAACACTGAATCTTTCCACTGTCTATTGGATATTTGTAACTTACACAGAGATTTGTGTTACTGACTTTTGCACAGAAATTATATTGTTTACAA